GCAGATGATGAAAATGTTAGTAACAGTGACAATGATGAATGTAAAATATCTCATGATCACGCAAATACACACAAAGAGAAGAAACCAAGAATAGGTAAACCAATTCATGATGAGTGTGCTCACATCTTACATAGGAAGTTAGGACATGCAAGTTTTCCTGTAGTACAAAAAATGACTGAACACGCAGAAGGTGTCAAAATAAAAAATTGTGAAAATTATTTGGAATGCTCAGTATGTAAATCCACTAAACTAAAAACTAGTCCCAGACCAAAAAAATCCAACAGATCAACTAACAAAATTTTTGACTTAGTACATATGGACTTAGTTGGTCCATTAACTCCATCAATCACTTATAGAAAACGTTACTTCCTAACAATAGTAGACGATTACAGTCGCTATGGTTTTGTTTACACATTAAAACACAAGGATGAAACCTTTCAGAAATTTAAGGAATTCTACAAACGCATAGAAACACAACATAATATCAGAATAAAACAAATTATGACAGATAGGGGATGTGAATTCATGTCTAAAGAATTCTCCCAATGGTTAAAGGATAGAGGAATGCTACATTTCACGTCTAGTCCATTTTCTGCATTCCAAAACGGGATTGTAGAGAGAAAGAATTCCACACTACAAACCATGATTAGATGCACATTAGAGGATGCTGGTTTAGGCAAACAATTTTGGTCAGAAGCCCTACATTATTCAAATTACACTCAAAATAGAACCTGGTCCAGTATTGTGAATAAAACACCATATGAGGTGATGTATAATAGGAAACCCAAATTAGCACACATGCACATATTTGGAGTCACTGCAGACGTACACATACCTAAACAGTTGAGAAGAAAGGGAGAAAACGTATCCAGAAGATTAAGATTTATGGGATATGAAACTGGCACCAAAGGGTACAGATTCATTGATAATAGTAACAAATTTATAGTCTCCAGAACAGCTGTGTTCCATGAACAAGCCAATTGGTCTAAATTACATCTTAATGAAATATTTCCAAATAAATGCAAAGATACAAAATCTTGTGAGGAAGGAACAATAGAAAATCAAAATATCAACAAAAATAAAAACAAAACCAAAACTTGGACAAATAGTCAACACAAAATAAAGACAGACACATTAACAAAAAAGGAAGCAAGATATTTGCATGACAACCATAGCAAACCTGAAAGAGCTATTAGAAACATAGAAATCAAATACCAAATAAATACAGAGATTACATAATGCATATGGATGGTGAACAAATAACACCTAATACATATGAGGAAGTATTAAAACTCCCTTGTGAAGAAAAGGAAAAATGGGAACTAGCCATGAAAAAAGAGATGGAAAGTTTGCAAGGATTAAATGTATTCACACCTGCGACTGCACCTAAAGATAAAACAATTATAGGTACCAGGTGGATTTATAAAATTAAGAATCTAGAAGGAGGCAATACTCTATACAAAGCTAGATTAGTTGCACAAGGTTATGCACAAAAGTATCCGGAGGACTATACTGACACATATTCCCCCACAGTGAGAACAGAGAGTGTTAAAACAGCTCTGGTAGTGGCATCTGCACTCAATCTTGATGTATTTCAATATGACATACAGACTGCGTATTTACACGCAAAACTAGATAAGGAAATATATGTAAGAGCACCACACAGTCAATATACTAATAAGAATGAAATCTGGCTATTGAACAAGAGTCTGTACGGATTAAAGCAATCTGGCAAAAGATGGTACGATTGCTTAGTAAAAGTACTTAAGACCATGGATTTTAACGCTACCACTGCTGATAACTGTTTCTTTGTAAAAAAGAGTGATGATCACATTGAATTCGTATTAATTTATGTAGATGATATTTTATATATAGGAAAACACAAGGAGAGAAGAGAAACCTTTGTAAATAAGCTAAACGAACATTTTTCGTTGAAATCTCTAGGTAAAGTAAACAAATACCTTGGTGTACAAATTAACAAAACTAGAAGGGGATTCAAACTTACTCAGAAAGATAAGATCATTGAACTTCTAAACAAATGCAATTTAAACAATGCCAAACCATGTGACACTCCCATGCAAACTGATTTCCTTAGAAACACTGATGAGTCTTCCCCTGAATTCAAGGATAATACATTTTATAGATCAGTCATAGGTTCACTTCTCTATATATCTAATTGGACCAGGCCAGATATTGCATTACCTCTCAATTTATTGTCAAGACATGTTAGCAAACCAACAATGTATCATTGGGAAGCTGTCAAAAGAATTCTAAGATATCTGAAAAGTACATTAGACTTTTGCTTAGTATTAGAACCTAGTAATGACAAAGAACCAAAACTTACTTGTTACGCAGATGCGGATTGGGCTGGAGATATATCATGCAGAAAGAGCACTTCTGGTTATATTTTTTTATTAAATGACTGTCCAGTTTACTGGTACACTGGTAAACAAGAACTGGTAGCCACTTCAACCACAGAAGCGGAATATGTTTGTTTGTCCAAAGCTGCAAATAACCTTGTATGGTTTAATGATTTGATTTCAGATGTCTGGAAAAAACCTGCTTTGCCTTTTGTTATGCATGAAGATAATAAAGCAGCCATTGAAATATCCAGATCCGATGCCATTGGACAAAGGTCCAGGCATATAGATATAAAGTTTAAGCATGTGAGACAATTGTCTCAAGATGGATTTATCAAAGCAGTGCATTGTGATACCTCTGAACAATTAGCTGACATATTAACGAAGCCTTTACCTTCTAAACAGCACAAATATTTAACTTCTAAATTATATGTCTTATATTGTCCTGAATCTGAATGTAATTGGTGTTGTATAGCGAACCGGCATTTAGAGGGGGATTTGTCAGATGTAAATGCCTTATTCCCTAATGTGTAAATAATGTATATATGGGACATCGGGGGTTAACTTATTCTTTGGTTTCTAATGTATTCATAATTCACCACTCCCATTCTTGACTCCGCCCTCTGTATATATAAGGAGCCACCCTCACCATTTTCATTGCTTCTATCTGTGAATATTCAGTGAATATAGAATGCCTGTTATAATTAAAAAGAAATATATTTAAACCTCTAACTCTTATTATCATTATTGAGTCTGATCCTGAAAATATCGCAACAGGTAGGCTATGGAAAATTAATTAAATGTTATGACCGGCATTTGTTAGCTGAAGGATAACATTTTGCACACCAATATAATTAACTGAATTTGAAAGGAAGATGTGCTTGCTTAGAGTGCATTGTATTTTGGAAATTCAATGAACCATGAGACATAATGAGGTCTTAGTAGGTGGCAGCAGTTAAGCAACCTGGGCAAATATTGGAAGCCATGCAGGGTTATTCCTGGTTAGTGTAGGAAGTTAGCACCCACCCCTCTCCTAGAAGAATGAAATATTCTAGGAAATATTAAAAAGGCAGAATGAGCCTTGGTGGCGCAGCAGACTTAAATAACACCAGCTGCCTGCAATTACTGCAAGTTCAAATCTCACCAGGCTCAAGGTTGACTCAGCCTTCCATCCTTTCGAGGTAGGTAAAATGAGGACCCAGTTTGTGGGGGCAATAAGCTGACTTTGTATATATATATATAAAGGGGGGGGGCCCGAAAGCCCTACTAAGCAGGTATATACAAAAGTATGAAGGCTATTGCTTAATGCATTGTAAGCCGCCCTGAGTCTCCGGAGAAGGGCGGCATATAAATCGAACCAATCAATCAATCAATCAATCAATCAATCAATCAATCAATCAATCAATCAATAAATAAATAAATAATTAATACCTCCCTGGATGAGAAATGGAGAAACTTGTTTTTTAGACAGGAAGCAGACTCACTCTTAATAGCCCCACCCTCCTCAATAGCCCACAGCAGATGTCAGCACTTAAGAGATAATTAGGTCTATTCTTTTTTTTTTAATAAAAAGTTTTTTTTTTATATTTTTTAAGACAAACAAACATTTAATACATCATTCATTTCTTCCATGTGACATTTTGGTGTTATCTTCAAAGGTTTCTTCTCTTCTCTTATCTCTTCTATCTTCAATCTCACCAAGTCCATTGCAAAGATTTTCCACTAATATAATATTCTAGTTACATTTTGGCTACAGAGCTAACCAATTAGGACAGTGTGATGCAATACAGCAGTCTTAAATAATAATAAATGGCAAGAAGGGTCGTAAAATGGGGCAAAATTCACTGGACAACTCTCTCACTTAGCAAACTTCATTGTGGCCATAAGTCGACGGCTACTTATATTTCGGGAATTAACTTCCTAACAGTGAGGACAAGTTGTGGGCGCTTCATCCCTGGAGGGTTTTTAAGAAAAGCCTGGACAGGCCACTTGTCTGAAATGGTATGTATACTTAGGGTCTCCTGCTTGAGCAAGGGGGTTGGGCTAGATGACCTCAGAAGGTCCCTTCCAGCTCTATTCTGATTTTCTTTTTTTTTTCTTTCTCTGAGGAGCTAGCCAACTTTGAACAACCTGGCAGTCGCAGTTAGGTAATATAACCTACCAAAAAAAAAAAAAAAATGAGCATTGTGTCTCTTTAGGGAAAAAAAAAAAGTATAAAAGAGACAAAAAGTCAAAAAGTTCTTGCCGCGAAAGTGTGGGAAGGCGCGCGCATGCGCAAACGATCCATTCTCAAGGTGTTTTTTTTTTTTTTTTAACTCCGCTCCCTCCTCGCCCCGCCCCACCTTCGAAAGCGGCCACTTCGGAGGAGGGCGTTCCCCACCACGCCACGCCCCTCGGCTCACGCCTTCCTTGCTTCCTTCCTTCGCTCTCCCCCCCTCCCCTCCTCCGGGAGCGTGCGTCATCCGAGCTTTGCTGATTGGGTGCCGCCCTCCAGGTGGGTTTTTTTTGCATAATTTCGCTCCTCCTCCTCCCTCCTGCAGCTTGAAGCGGCGCGCGCGCAAGCGCGAGCGCTTTTGCGGTGGGGGGGTAGGAGGAGGGAAGTGAAGAGAAGAAGAAGAAGAAGAAGGCGAGGGGGGGAGAGCGCGGATTGGTTGCTAGGACGGTGACGTCAGCGAGCCGGGGACGAGGGGGAGCGGAGAGAGACGCGGAAAAAAGGTCAAACTGAAGGCGAGCCGGAGAAGCGGCGGCGGCAGCAGCAGCAGCGGGAGGCGGGAGCGGCGCCCCTTCCCGGCAGGTACGGGCGGGGGGCGGGGAGGGAGGGAGAAGCGGGGGACCCGTGGCCACGCCCCTTCGCCACGCCCCCCTCGCTCACCTTGGGGAAAGGGCACGAGGGTCGCCCCCAACGTGGGCCGGGATGTTCCATTCTCCCCCAAAGTGGGGGGGGGTGCTTGTTCTTGCCTGCCCCAAAAGTTGGGTATTCCCCCCCCACCCAAGTCTTCCCCATGTGCCTCCTCCCCCATGCAAACCTTCTCTATGGGGTAGTTTGCCCCCCCCCATATGCTCAATCTGGAAGTCACCCCTGTTTCAGCATCCCTATAACCCCCCCCCCAAAAAAAAGTCTAGGAAGCAGCACTTTCCTTTTTTTGCGGGGGGGGGGTCAAAAGCCCCTTCCCACTGGGTAATGGCTACTTCTTCCTCCCTTCCCTAACTGTCCATCTTGGTCTTATTTTTTCAAACTTGACAACTTTTAACTTTCAATTCCCAGAATTCCCCAGCAGGTATGCAGGGAATCCTTGAAGCCTTAAAACAGGGGTCCCCAAACTTGGCAGCTTTAAGACTTGTGGACTTCAACTCCCAGAATTCTCCAGCCAGCAGAGCTTTGGGAGCAGCCAGCTCCCAAAGCCAGCTCCAGCCAGCAGAATTCTGGGAGTTGAAGTCCACAAGTCTTAAAGCTGCCAAGTTTGAAGACCTCTGCCTTAAAAGAAATGCAGAGTTCTTGGTGGTGCAAAATGCTTTAAAAAGAAGTGAATCTCAAGCAAACGGCTCTTAAGAAAGTGTGGCCTCTCCCTCCCTCTCTCTCTCTCTCTCTCTTTTTTTTCCCTTTTGCCCTTCAAGGATCCCGTGGGCTTCCTTAGAGATGGAGTTCTTCTTCCTTTTCTTTTTCCTTCTCTCTCCATAACAAGAAAAAGAATAGACAATAACTTTTCCTTTTGGCAGGCTTTTCTTTTGATTTTCCTCTTTGGGGCTGCCTTTCCGGACTTTTTCAACGCGGTTATCGGTACTCTGTATTGAAAACTTCCTCTTTAAAGGTTGTCCTGCCTAACATTTGGAAAAGTGGAGGGCAAAAAAATAAAATAAAAGAGTATTGTTTGGATATGGTTTCTCCTCCGGATGGGTGGATAAGAGCTGCTGGTGGTTCTTTTTTGTTTTTTTTTCTCAAGCCAAAGAAGGCCACAAATGGAGGCCAAAACCCGTGGCTTTGGAAGGGGATGAAAGTCAAGTTGGTCTGGAAGAATAACAGAATAACAAAGTTGGAAGTCTATGGAGATTCTCAGTCATCCAGGTCATGGTTGTCCCAAAAAAATGCTTTTCAGTCAGAGCTGAAGAAGCTTCTTGGATGAGAAGCGAAACGTCTTCAAAGGAAAAACCCAGAAAGTCCAGTTGTTTCTTGAAAAAAAGCACTTTTGGGACAACAAAGTTGGAAGGGACCTTGGAGGTCTTCTAGTCCAACCCCCTGCTTAGGGAGGAGACCATGTCAGACAAATGGCTGTCCAATCTCTTCTTAAAAACTTCCAGTGTTGGAGCACCCACAACTTCTGGAAGCAAGTCCTTCCACTGATTAATTCATCTCACTGTCAGGAAAGAAATGTTTTTAGTGTCTGTAGATCAGCCCCCTGAAAACATTTACATGGGGAAAGGCCAGGTTGGATCCTGTTTTGGCTCTAAGCAAGTTGTAACATCATTCTGTCCTGCATTTTGTGCGTGCAATATTAAAACTGGATTTTCTTTTCTGTCTTTTCCATTTACTATGGAAGAACTGAGCTGTAAGAAGTTGGCTTTAGGCTTGGTAGCTTCTGTTCATTAAAGATAAGATAGCCCTCAAATTACAAGCATTCATTTAGTGGCTGTTTGAAGTTACACTGAAAAAAGTGACTTATGACTTGTTTTTCACACTTACGACCATTGGAAGCATCCTACAGTCACGTGATCGAAATTTGGACGGGCTGGCAACTGGCCTGTATTTATGATGGTTGCAGTGTCCCGGGGGTCAAGTGTTCACTTTTGCGACCTTCTGACAAGTCAAAGTCAATGAGGAAAACGGATTCCCTTAACAACCGCGTTACTAACTGAAATTGCAGTGATTCAGTCAACAACTGTGTTTCAAGAAAAGTCGTAAAATGCAGCAAAACTCACTTAACAGCTGTCAGGCTTAGCAACAGAAATTCTGGACTCCATTACGGTCGTAAACAGGATTATTTTATGTACTTGGGAGAGAGAGAAAGGTTTGGTTGTTAGCCTGGTGTTTACATAATATTGTGGAAGTGTTATGAAGTTGAAAGAGATTGCAAGGTTGCAACGACTGTTTATATACCTGGATTGAAGTTGTAATTCAGCGTGTTTGTAAAAACATCAGCTCTATATAGTGAAACAGATGGAGAAACATCAGATACCAGGGATCAGCTCTGTATAATAAGCTCTGTCTTCCTTCCTGAATGCAAATGGTTAAAAGTCAGATGTTGGGGTTTTGATTTCAGAAAGATTACTTGTGGGGAAGACGCATGAATATTTTTGTTGTTGGGGGAAAAAAAAAAGCCCTTTTATGTCTGATAAGGACAGATTAGGCCTTAAAAAAAAGAGTGCTTTGTTCACAGATGGTAAAATCCAGAGTAACTAAAAAGAGAGGTTTTTTGTGCAAAAGGAAGGCTTGAGTTTACTTTTAAAAACTTTCTGCTGACAGCAAGTTTTTTTTTTTTAAAGAGGAAACTGAGTGAACATTGCTGTTTAGAACGAACATTTTAAGTGTTTTCTGAAATGGCTTCATTACAAAGGCTTCACGCTCAGATCTCTGAAGATTATTCGTGGGGGTTTTTTTAAGGCGTGCGTGTGGCCCTTTTTAAATTCATGTTCCCAAATAAACCACACTGATGGATCCACATGTAATTTACGTGGAGCTCAGCACATCTGAAAATTGCCTTTATTTTTTGTTAACGTGAAGCCACCATATGTGTGCAGCCTGGCGATGACACATTGGCACGTTTAGGGAGGAAAGCATCTGGGTATGCAAGTGAACAATGGTTTGAAATGAGATTGAAGTGTTCCTAGGGTGAGAATGGATGAAAAATGCTGCATTCAGCTAACCACAACCTGACTCCTCCAGAGTCAGCTGAGGGTTTTGTCACAGCCTAATTTTAATTTGTTCCCCCCCCCAAGATTAAGCTTGCTGACTTCAGGTTATTTTTCTATCTCCTCCCTTCTCCCTACATCTCCATTTGCAGGACAGCTATAAAGAACGCTGATGAGATCAAATGGAAAATAAACTTTTTAATATTTTCACTTTCGGGGCAAAGTTTCCTCCCAGCTGGTTTGCCTTCGGAGACTTTCCCAACGATTCCTGGAATAAAGATTGACAGATGATTGATTCATTTAATTACTATATAAAACGCTTCAATCGTTTCCTACTCTGGATTTCTTATTCCTGAGGATATATTACCATAGATTCTGCTTAATGAGACTGGGCTATGACTAATTAGCAAAACTAATTAGCGGGAATTTAATCTGGGGGAAGAGGGAATCTTTTGGAATTTTTTTTTTTTTTTAAAGAGTGTGACTATCACCGAGATGAAAGAAAGTGCTCTTTAATCATTGTGATTTAATGCGATATGGTGATTTACGGTACATTCCCAGAGAAAAGTTAATAGGTACTGTTATGTCCCAGAACAGAGGAATGATTTCAGGAAAGGAAGTGAAAGTATTAAGGCTCAGCAGGCTGAATTAAAAAATAAACAGCTGTTCGTTTATTTTAATTTGCTCTGCAAAAAATGCAGAAGCAGTTTCAAAGTTACACCTTGGGGTATGTACAAGAAGGCGTTGCTGAATAGTTTCAGATATGATGGATTTCAAACATCAATTTTCCAAGCTAATTGACTCTTTATAAGATCAATAGGTAAGAAATCTCGGGGCATAGCGGCTGAATTTGAGTGATAAAATAAGAATATAAAAAGCTTTACCAAAGGTCACTCAACTCAAGAGATTTTCTATTATTACTCAGTGGAAGTAATTGTTACTCAATGGAATAATAGAATAATAAGCCTGCGTAGGTTTATTAATTCTACTTTTGCAAGTCAAAGTGTAATTTGCATGGAAAATGGTTGAAAAGGAAAAATGAAGAGAGTTGTGGTAAAATAAAATCTGAAAAAAAGTAACAGACCTCTAGGCTAAACTTTATTTTGCAATATAGATAAGAAATATAATATATTGTTTAATTGTAGAAGCAACAGAAATTTTGCTTACTCATGTGGGGTTGTAAGTTGAGGAGAACCTATATTTTGCTTTCGTTTTTGTTTTAACTATGTAGTATCACTATTGTAGATTATCACCTTTCATAATTTCAGATTTTATGGTTAATTTCTTTTTGACTTTGAAAACTGATATGTAATACAAACTAGTGGGATGAGAACTCAATAAGTAAAGGGAGGGGGGAAAGTTAGAGGAGCCCCTGGACTTATGGGGCCTCAGGAAGCCCATAGTTTTCCCACCAAGCTTTCCAGTTTTAAGGAATAAGTATTTTGAGATTACACCATTGAATAGTTGATAAAGTTGGATATAGTTCTTTAATTTGCAATAATTAACTTTATCTCTACTTCTCTAATGTCTGAAGCTGGGAAAATAGTCTTGTTTTTCCAGCTTCAAATATTAGAGAAACAAAGATAAAAGTTAGATAAAACTGATTAGATGAGAACATTACAAATTTTGAAAGTAGTATTTTATACATTAAGAGCGGCATGGTGGCTCAGTGGATAAGATGCTGGGCTTATTGGCCGGAAAGCTGGCAGTGAAGGTTCGAGACCCGGGCACCATGCAACGGGTGAGCTCCCATCCTCGCCCCAGCTCCTGCCAACCTAACAGTTCGAAAGCGTTCAAATGTGAGTAGATAAATAGGTACCACTTTGGTGGGAAGGGAACAGCGTTCCATGATGTCATGCTGGCCACATGACCACGGAAATGTCTTCAGACAGTGCTGGCTGAATGACCGTGAAATGGAGTCGTAAATAACTAGTAAAGTAAAATCCACAG